ATTTCTTATTCCACAAAGTTTTCAAACACCAGAAAAGATCTATGTCTCGCTAAAAGCTACGTAACCGTCAAACTGTACATGAAACGAGCAATCAGACATTGATCAATATAAATCATGTCATTACATGTACGTTGCTTTCCATGACCACTGTTTCCTGTCTGAAATTTTCAGGATATCCCTACAGAGGTTATGAGATTTTATATTCCACTTCCACCACACTCAGAACGAGCGGGTCTTCCTTGTTCACCTACCGTCCGGGCCGGACGGTGTCCCGAAACACAATGTACTGGACTCGTGTGCACAATGACGTCAGTGTGGGGAACTGATTCACAACTGGGCCGGCAGACCGGGCTTTCCACCGAGGTCACGCGTTGCGCATGAGCGATCCTCGTATGCACTCGTTGTTTATTGCACTCGATAGCGCCTGTGTGCTCTCGCGAGTGCTTGCGAGCTCTCGTAAATGCTCGCAGGTACCCGCAAGCGCTCGTTACCGGCAGCAAATTTTACGAGCAGATATGAGGGTTTAGCGGAAACTTCAAGCGAGTACGAGTGCGAGGAGTACTTCAATTTAATCATTACTGTAACACTGTCAGTTTTTTCTAATATTACAACTAGGATTCATTGCAAGTCAAAGAACAAATGAATTGTAGGTAGAAAGGGGAGCTTATGAGTGTATCAGCAACCATAAAACAGTCATACAGGTTCAGGAAATGACTTGGATTTGTTTTTATCCACGTGGATACTTGGTGTAATTTTGTGGGTGTGGCTGCCAACAGTTTCGCATGCTTGTGTTCGATATTCAATTCAACCCTCTTCTGATCTCTGGGTATAAAAGATACAAAATTGGTCTTTAAAATCATTTCCTAATTTGTATTTTTGGCTCTATGACAAATACTTTGTTTTAATACTGCTGTCAAACCTATTCGTCAGTTTGTAAGATAAAATCTGAAAATCACCAAAACGGTCGGTTCGTTAGATACCGTACCAGTATGCCACCGCATGTGTACCGCACATAAGCTTTATGGCGGACCTTTTCAATCTACCACAATGGTGGCGTTTGAGATTCTGCACCAGTTGGAATCCTTCCCAGTTTGCCATCCACATGAACATTACATGTATTTTAAAGGTGGAATACAAATTACAAGTCGAGGTGTACATGTATGTATATGGCAGCCATACTGACATTCAACATGGTGGCCAAAAGGAATTAGACAGACGGGTGACAGTGGTTTTACTGGAATCCCTGGCATCACAACCTGGGCATTGCCACAATTTTTACTCCCCCCAGTTACTCACAAGTGGAAAAAAAATTAATAATGGTGGCCATTTTGAAATTCAAAATGGCAGCCTAAGGCCTGACCCAAAAAATGGCACCTCACTTTTTCGAAATCAGAACCCCAAAGTTGAGGTGGTCAATAGATCCATTTTGGCACGAAATACAGCTGGATCAGAATTTAAAGAGAACAGAAACCTTATTTAAATGCTACAAGCTTGAAAATTTTGTACAGGAAGCTTTCACCTTTCTAACTGAACTTGTTTGTGAATGTAGAACACAAAAGAAGTAGTTACAAAAGCAGAAGAAAAGAAGTTTTATTTCAAGCAATCCCGATCTAGGAAAATTTGAAATTACACGTAGGAAATTGGCCGTATTTTTAAAAGAAAAAATGCATTTGAGGTATTGGTTCTTCACGAGACACAATGAAAATGCTGTGACCAGGAGATTGGAGCCAGTCTAGAATTTTGTGCTTACATACTGTACTATACTGTGTCTGGCTTTGATACTGTTGTGCTGAATAATGTTGGCAAACTCATCACGTTCATTCCATAAAGTGCAGTGAACTGCTTTGCATTTAGATAAACTTGAAGACAATGGAGAATAGGGAAAATCCAATAGAAAAAACAGCAGAGTGGTGAGAATTTTGGTGGGGTGGCAAAAGTTTAGCGGAGCAGTCTAAAATTTTGGCCGGAAAACCCATCCTGCTAAAACTTCTCAGGGGAGCACTAACGTAATTAAGTAGCATCAGTTCAGGAAAATGAATTTTGATGTGAGATTGAAGGCTTTTAATGATAGTTGCATTGAGTGCAGTGAGCACAAGCAGCTCATGAAAGGGATCCAAAATTTGAACTTGTAACACTGTATGTTATAATAACACATTTTTCAATTAAATTTGCCTAAATTCAAAGGATAAATTTTTAAAAAATGTACAAAACCTGAATACAATAAAATTTGGTACTTACATGTATGACACTTTTTTTTACACTGACATGATGTGCAAAAGTACATTTACTGGCACAGTGGATGTTATCGAGCCATGCACCTACATGTACATGTACATACACTATTGTCATTTTGCAAGTCCACTGTGTCTAGTCTGGAGGGTTTATTCTTATTTATTTAAAGATGTACAATGACCCCTTTATTTACCAAAAATTCTGAGTGGTGAATACAGTTTTTGACAATGTGACTTAATTGTAAAGGCTTGTACCGTACTACTGGTACATGTACTTATAGATCGATTACTTATTCCCATGTGCATTTAGCAATAAACACTTGCGGGTGAGGCTAAGTTTGTGTTTCATCAACATGTATAATATGAGCTACACGATAAAACAAATTTTGTAGATGGTCTCTTCATGCTTGTATTAACAACTGTACCACATCAGATAGCTAAAACATGTGAAAAGCATGTAAAGAATATGTACGTAGATGAAAGTGGCAGCACATTTACAAGGAATGCAGAAGCAATGAATTCAAAGGAAGCTAATGAAAAGACAGTGAAGTATCAGAAAAAATTAGTGTGCCTTACCTGTGTTGATTGGTCTTTCTGATGTGGCTCATGACAGTTGGATGATGAGGTGGAAGAGGCAGTGCATGAAACTACCTCAGATCGTGGCCAGTAACCTGATAAGTACGGCACTGCTATTGTATCAAGGGAATTGGTGCGCCGAATAGGACTTGCTCTTACTGCTTTTGGCCTCTCAACTGCAATAATGAAATATATGTACTCCCCAATAAATGCTCATGAAATTATGAACATGAACAGGCACTGGTAATGACAGGGTTAACAATAACATGTTGAAGAATAACATTGTTAAACACCATCAAAATACTTTTGAACCATATGAGGCTGGGTCTGCCTAAGGAAACTTGTTCAGGTACACATACATGTATGCT